GTTTCTTTTGTTTTTTTAGGTTCAATTGTTGATAGATAATGTATTTATTGCCATTTATTTGTTCATATTTTTGATCTTCTTCTTCTTATTCCTCTTCTTCTTTTAGAAGACCCTTTAGCATTTCATGTAATACTACTTGGTGGTGATGAACTACTTTAGCTTTTCCTTGTCTGGGAAGCTCTTTGTATGTCCTTCGATTCTAAATGATAGCTTAGGGTAGAGTAGTCTTGGTTGTACGTCCTTGCTTTTCATTACTTTGAATATTTCTTGCTAATCCCTTCTAGCCTAATGCTTTTAAGATTCTCTCCGTCTTTAAGCTTTGGCATTTGAATTATGATGTGTCTTAGTGTGTCTTTGGGTTCATCTTGTTTGGGACTCTGTGCTTCCTGGACTTGTGTGTCTATTTCCTACACCAGGTTAGGGAAGTTTTCTGTCACTTTTTCCAAATAGGTTTTCCATTCTTTGGTTTCTCTCTTCTCCTTCCGGCACCCTCATGATGTGACTGTTGGTATGCTTGAAGTTATCTCAGAGGCTCCTTACACTATCCTCATTTTTTTTTGAAACCTTTTTTCTTTTTGCTTTTCTGATTGGGTGTTTTTTATTTCTTATATTCCAAATTGTTGAGTTGATTCTTGGTTTCATCTACTCTACTTTTGATTCCCTGTCAATTATTCTTCATTTCAGTTAAGTAGTCTTTATATCTGACTAATTCTTTTTTATGGTTTCCATGTCCTTTTTTAAACTGTTGAAGTTCTCACTGAATTCATTGAGTATCCTTATAAAAATTGTTTTGACCTTTGTATCTGGTAGTGTGCTTGCCTCCATTTCATTTAGTTCTTTTTCTGGAGAGTTCTCTTGTTCTTTTGTTTGGGACCTGTTTCTTTGTCTCCTCATTTTGACAACTTCCATGTGTTTGTTTCTATGTATTAGGTAGAACTGCTATGTCTCCCAGGCTTTGTAGAGTGCCCTTGTATAGTAGGTATTCTGTGGGGTCCAGTGGCACAGCCTCTCTTATCACTAAAGCTGGGCACTCCAGGTGTCCTATCCCCACCCTGTGTAAGCTGTGTACACTCTCCTGTTGTAGTTAAGTCTTGATTGCTGTTGACATGTCAATGGCAGAGATTTACTCCTTGGCCAATCAGCTGCAAGGGCTGGCTGTGAAGGATCAGCTGTGTAGGGACCCACCCCAAAAGGTAGTACTTACTTAAATGGGGCTTGGTTACCCACTGAGCCTGCCTCTTGAATGGAAGTGGTTGGGTGGCGCTTCAAAGTGGTCTGAAGCTGTCCATCAGGTAAACTGGCTCTGGGACCTCCCAGGAGGTTCAGGCCAAGGTCAGCCACCACCTGTGTTCTTCCTGGGGCTACCTAGCATAAGATATAAAGTGATCTGCAGGCGGCTGCTACTCGTGCTGGGCTTGGAAGTGCCAAAGCAAAGTCAAGCTGTAAACCAATACTGTCTGTTGCTAGTTCTGGCTCTGGGGCTTAGTGAGAGGAATGAGGCACACTCTAGTCAGATACTGCTTGTTAGAGAGATTTTAGGAAAGTCTGAAGCATGAGCTAAGATAGACCACTGGATGGAAAAGTTGCTATAAACAGCTTGGGCTGGACCTGAAAATTGTTTTGGGTAGGGTCCCAGGGAAATCACCTGGGTGGGGCTAATGGTGTTAGCCAGGTTATTGGAGTCTCAGATATGGTATCTGACTGTTGGCTCTTTGGGGGTGAGGTCTCAGAAAAGGAACAGTGGCCTCTGCCAGCACTTCTGTCTGGGAGAAAACTGTCCCTTCAGCTCTCATGAGATGCCAGACAATTCAGTTTCTTCCCATATGTTGCTGGCACTTCTCAAGGTGCCCTCCCAGTGCTGGAGCTCAGAGGAAGTGAATATAAGTAAGTCTGTGTGTGAGCCCTTTAAGAGGAATTTCTGGGACCACAGTCCTCAGTAGTTTTTGCAGCCAGAAGTTATAGGGACTTCTCTTCCTGGCACTGGAACCCTGGAATGGGGGGACTGGTGTGGGGCTGGGACCCTTTGCTCCTCAAGGGGACCTCTGCAGCTGACATATCCCTCATGATTTTTATCTGCCACACTTGGGTGTGGGACTTGCCAGTTCTGTATCTCCATCCTCTTAACAGTCTCAATGTGTCTTCTTTAAATCTTTAGTTGTAGGACTTTCATGGAGCTAGATTTCAGGTGGTTTTGAATGTAGTTCTTTAGTAGTTTATTTGTAATTTTGATGTAGTTGTGGGAGGATGTAAGTATTGCATTTCTCTATACTGCCATCTTGACTGGAAGCCCCATTTTAACCATTTTTAAGTGTACAATTTAGTGACTTTAAGTATATTTACACTGTTGTGCAACCATCACCACTATGTCTTTCTTAAACACCGAAGTTCTCTGGACGATGCCTAGGATACAGAAATGGCACTTTAACACATTTACTAATCAAACTTCATAATTATTACTTTTATTCAAAGATAAAATATCTTTCTAAGATTCTGTACTTCTTCCCAGAACTTGGCACATTTGAATTAGCTGAAAAGCAGTGCAGTGACTTAGAGCCAAACTTACTGGTTTAAGTTTTGGCTTTCCTACTAGCTCATTGTGTGACCTTGGGCAAATTACCTAACCTTTCTATGTCTTAGTTTTCGTGTCTTAAAAGGGAGGCCCTGACCCTGGGCAGGTAGCTCGGTTGGTTGGAGCATCATCCCATGCACTGAAAGATTGTGGGTTTGATTACTAGACAGGGTACATACCTAGGTTGCAGGTTCTTTCCTCAGTTGGGACATGTATGGGAGGCAACCAATTGATGTTTCTCTCTCTCATGTCAATGTTTCAGTTTCTCTCTTTCTTTATCTCTCCCTTCCTCTCCCTCTAATTTCAATAAACATATCCTTGGTAAAACGGGGCCTTGGTAATAATATTTACCTTAGAAATTTGGGATGATTAAGTAAATAAAGCATGCTTGGCACATAGTAATTGTGATGATATGTATTAGGTATTGTTTTTATTCTTAGAAATAATGTCTTCAAAGTCTCTTTCCTGTTGGACTGTGCTGTGAAGACAGACTTCATCAGTTTTGTCTACAGTTAGTTGAGTTCCTTGCACATACCTCAGATAGGCTTATATTTCAGCTCCTCCTCCTCTTCTTTTTTGCCTTTTTTTCTTTGTTTATTTGTACTTGGACTTATTGAGAAAAGATTAAGATGGCTCACTACTATCCATGAACTTCTGGGTTTTATCTTAAAGCTTAAGCAAGTTGAAAAAACTGACAGTTCTCTTTTTGACTTACAGAGGGGAGTATCCCAAGGGAAAGCCCAGAACAGTTGGTGCCTTCCAGGAGTTCAGTTGTAAGTCGTCCTGAGCTTCTTACCCAAGAAATAGGTCCCGAGCTCTACTGTGGGGAAAGTTGTATATCTGCCTTTAGAAGGTGCTGTTTATTTTTTTATTTTTTATTTTTGTAATAGGTTTTTAATTTTTATGTTTTTAATTTTTAAGATTGCTGTTTATTTTTTTATTTTTTATTTTTGTAATAGGTTTTTAATTTTTATGTTTTTAATTTTTAAGTCATGTTTATTCTACTACAGTTGTCTCAATTTTTCCCTCTTTGCCCCCACCCATCAATCCCACCCCCAGCCTCCGGCTTCCACAGTCAATTTCTACTCTGTTGTCCATGTCCATGGGTCATTCATACATGTTCTTTGTCTAGTTCCTTCCCCTTCTTTCCACCATTGTCCTCCTTCCCCATCCCTCTGGTCACTTTCAGTCTGCTCCACGTTTCCATGCCTGTGGCTTATTTTGTTCATTAGTTTATTTTGTTAAATAGATTCCACTTATAGATGAGATCATATGGTATTTCTCTTTCACCAGCTGGCTTGTTTCATTTAGCATAATATTCTCCAGTTTCACCCATGTTGTCACAAAAGGTAGGAGTTCCTTCTTTCTTTCTTTTTCTTTTTTTTAATACAGATAGATTTTATTTATTTTTCTAAATGTCAGGATCCATTATAAAATATTAAAAAATTTAAATCCATTATAAAGTCTCAACAATTAAACCGACATGACACCAGCACAGAAATGATCAAGTAGATCAGTGAAATATAATAAGCATTCTAGAAACAAATGTATATATCTGTCTAACAATGTAATATGTGATTAAATTGATATTTCAAATCAATGGGGAAAATAAGGCTTATTCAACAAATAGGTGCATGGATCACTATTACTTGAAATAAAACAAATATAGAGCTTTATTTCACACATTACACACAAAATATTCAGGTGAGTTAAAAATCAATATGTGAAATCTAAGGAGTTTTAGGAGAAAATACACAATAATATTTTTCTTACCTGAAGTAAAATATTCAAACCCAGAAGCTATAAAGTAAAATATTGACAATATGACTATATTAAATATTTAAGACTATATAGTAATATACATATAAAAATGTTAAAGGACAAGTAAGAGAATAGGAAAATATTTGCCACACTTGTAAAAAAGTGTTAATACTTTTTTTGTTTGTTTGTTTGTTTTTAGGGAAAAAAATTCTATAAACCTTTAATCAATAAATGGCTAAAGAATACCAAAAAGTCACTTAAAGCTTTTTAAAAATAATAGAAATAGGCAAGAAATATACAAAAACAGGTTTAGTTTCAACAAATAATAAAGGAACAATTAAAATAACACATCATTGTCACAATCGGATTAATATGTATTAAAAATATTGGTACTATCAAGTATTGGTGACTATGAAAGGAACTGGGTATTCATAGAGTCTTTTTCTTCATCTTAAAGCCGTCCCCTTAGCACCCTTAACATATTTTGCAGTGCTGGTTTGGTGGAGGCATATTCTTTTAGCTTCTTTTGTCTGGGAAACTCCTTATTTCACCTAGAAGGCGCTGTTCAATCAGGATCATCCTAATGCCAAAAGAGGGAAGGGAAAGGCAGTGACTACGTAAGCAGGAAATCAATCTGAAACTGAGATCCAGTTTCACTTCTATAGCCAGCAACGAGTCTTGAGTTTTCTTCTGTAAATCTTCTTGGAACTTGGAGCCCATAGAGGATTTTAATTTCATCAAAACTTTGTTTTCAATTTCCCTAAGAACCACTTACTTCCAGAGGATCAGTGGAATTTGATTTGAAGGTATGTTATTCACGCCTTTCTCCCACTGAGGTCTTAGACTTCAGCATTTTCCCCATGCTTTATGACATAGAAATTTGCAAAGTTTCTTGTTTTCAATAATGGCACTATTTCTTCCTGGATTTATCAGCCTTCCCAGGGAAAATGATAGTTTTAAAAACTATCTTCCAGGAAGGCTCTGACATAGCCTTTACTGGCAGAAATATGCTAATCTACAGACAAGAGACAATGCCTGGATGACCCACCAAAGGTATAGATTTAGGTTCTTTTTTTTTTTTTTTTTAAAGTGATTTTTAAAAAATATATATTTTCTTGATTATGCTAGTAGAGTTGTCCCATTTTTTCCTCCTTTTTATTCTGCTCCACGCTACACCGCCCAACCACCCCAGCATTTCCCCCTTTAGTTCGTGCCCATAGGTTGTACATAAAAATTCTTTGGCTTCTCCATTTCTTATTCTATTCTTAACCTCCCCTGCATATTTTATACCTACTATTTATGCTGCTAATTCCCTCTTCGCCGCCCCCCCTGCATTCTTCCCCTTCTCCCTCCCCTCTATTTTACTGTTCATAGTTTTTGATCTTCTTTTTCTTAGATACATCCTTTTATCATTTCATATAATAAGGGCTTGGTGATAATGAACTTTTTTAACTTTACCTTATTTGGGAAGCACTTTATCTGCCCTTCCATTGTAAATGATCGTTTTGTTAGATAGAGTAATCTTGGATATAGGTCATTGTTTTTCATGACTTCGAAAACTTCTTGCCTGCAAGGTTTCTTCTGAGAAATCAGTTGATAGTCTTCTGGGAACTCCTCTGTAGGTAACTCTTGCCTTCTCTATTGCTATTTTTAACACTCTTTCCTTATCTTTAATTTTGGGTAACTTAATTATGATGTGTGTTGGTGTGTGCTTCCTTGGGTCCAACTTCTTTGGGACTCTCGGAGCTTCCTGGATCTCCTGGAAGCCTATTTCCTTCGCCAGATTGGGGAAGTTCTCTTTTATTTTTTTCAAATAAGTTTTCAATTTTTTATCTTTCTCTTCCTCTGGCACCCCTATGATTCAGATGTTGGATCATTTGAAGTTGTCCCAGAGGTTCCCAAGACTCTCTTCATTTTTTGAACGTTTCATTCTGTTCCGGTTGAATGTTTATCTCTTCCTTCTGCTCCCAATCGCTGATCTGAGTCCCAGTTTCCTTCCCTTTACTGTTGGTTCCCCGTATGTTTTTCTTTATTTCACTTTGCATAGCCTCCACTTTTTCCTCTATTTTGTGACCAAACTCAACCAATTCAGTGTGCATCCAGATTACCAGTGTTTTGAACTGTGCGTCTGATAGGTTGCTATTTGCTCATCGCTTAGTTCTATTTTTGGAGCTTTGACCTGTTCTTTCATTTGGGCCATATTTCTTTGTCTCAGGGCACCTGCTATGTTGGAAGGGGCAGAGTCTTAGGTATTCACCAGGGCAGGGCTACCCAGGTCGTTGAGTTGTGACCTTGTGTATGGAGGAGGCATCCAAGAGGGAACAATACCTCTTGCTTGGCTCTCTGCTGGCTTTCAGCCAGTTCCCCCACTACCCACAAGCAAATTGGGACCTTCCGGTGCTTATTTCTACGTGGGTGGGTTTTTGTACATTCTAGGACCCTGTGGGTCTCTCCAATGGACTCTTCTGTGTGGCTGGGAGTTTCTCTTGCTGCCACAACTCCCACAGGTTTTTACTACCAGAGGTTCTGAGGCTTTCTTTTCCTGTACTGGAACCCTGGCTTGTGTGGTCTGTCTCTCTCTGCAGCTGTTCCTCTGGTTTATCCACAAGCAAATGTAGGACTATTTGTTTGCCAGCTGCCGCCTTGCTGTGAGTCCTTTCTGCCCCAGCTGCCAGTCTCCACCCCTTCTACTGGTCTGGATGAATGTTTCTCTTTTAACTTCTTGGTTGTCAGACTTCCATACAGTTCGATTTTGTGGCAGTTCTTGTTATTTTTTGTTTTTAAATATGTTGTTGTTCTTGTTTTGGTTTTGCGAGGAGGCAAAGCGTATCTACCCATGCCTCCATCTTGGCCGGAAGTTCATGATTTAGGTTCTTCAGAAACTTCAGGACAACTGTATGATATGCTAGAAAAGGAAGATGTCTCCAAGAAACCAATTATTTGGTTTCTAGTATATAGGGCTACTGAAGGGAAGACCCCATAGGTGATCACATAAAAATAGCATTCTTTTTGTTTCCTTTCTCTAATAATATAAGTAATATGTGTTCATTGTTTAAGATTTGATAAACTCAGACAAGAGCCCAGAAAAAAATTTATATTTTATATAATACCACATAGATATAACCACTCTTTGTTACTGATGTTTTGTTTTTGCTATGTTCTCTTTCCTTTAGAAAGTAGTTTCTTGTATCTAAATGGACAAGACATATAATGAGTATGTACCTTGTCCATATAATATGAATAATACTACTCTGAAAAACTATGTCAATTTATTGCTCCTTTTATTAGAATAAATTTCAGTGTAGAAAATACCACAGTTATGAAATGGTCATGTGGAAATATTGACTTGGTTAATTTGTGACTTTCTATATTGATTTGAACAATTCTCATCTAAAACCTTCCATTATTTCTGGGGTCTCAGATGATGGCTCCTCTTTCTGTGGGTTACAAGCCTGTCTTTTTATGGTTAGCAATGTTACCTCATTGTCTTTGGGTTGGTAGGCACTTTAGAAATATAAACCCCCAGATTTCTTTCTTTCTAAAATGTAGGGCATAAATCTAAGTGCCATTTCTGCCATTTGGTGGGAATGAATAAGAGCTCCAACCATAAGGGCTCTAATCAGGAGCTGTTCTGCTGAGTTGGCCTCCCTTTTGACCAGATTCTCTGGTGGACATTTCCATTTTGGAGAAATCTGGGTAAATGAGTTCCAAGAAAAGCTCACTCCAGATCTCCTAAAGAATTAACATGCAAGTGTTGGGGTCAAGTTTTCTGGGCTATTGGTTTTTGAAGTAATCACACAAATAATTTTTATTTCAGTAATTTTTACTTTTTAGCACTTCTAGGAAAGTCTAATAATTCCTGGAACAGAAGAGGCTGAAACCAGGAGAGGCCATGGGAAGTTGAGGTGCCTTGTGTTCTTACTCTCTAACATGCTACCTCAACTTTCTATCTTTCTCAGACTGGCCATGACATCTCAAGGTCAAAATTGGACTTCCAGTTCATTTGATAACGATGGAAAGAATTTTCGTGGAATGCTACTGGATATTAATTCAAACCTGGGAGATAAAGAAGTAGAACAATTAAAGTTTCTCTGCCAAGATTTCATTTCCCACAAGAGTCTGGAGAAGTCCAGCTCAGCCTCGGATGTTTTTGATCATCTCATCACAAAGGGGCTGCTGAGTAAGGAAGAACCCTTTCTCCTAGCAGAACTCCTCTACATCATGCAGCAGAACTTACAGCTGAAGCACCTCAACTACACAAAAGAGCAAGTAGAGAGTTTGCTGCCCACCCAAAGGAAGGTCTCTCTGTTCAGGTGAGGAGGAGTCTGTAACCAAGACAAAAGGGTTTTCTACTTGGTGTTCATGCAGGTCATTGGGCTCTGAAGGACCGGGATTAAGACCTCTTTCTTACCCACTTCTTTGGATGTTACAGTGATCTACACTAGGAGATTTCTCAGCTCTAGGTGCTAATGAGCGGAGAGGTTGGGCCTCTTGGACCTAGCAGTGGTTTCCTGTAGTTTTGTTTCTCACTGCTAAGGGAAGCTTACTTCAGTGTAGCAGGCCTACGTTTGTCTCTTTCCCAGTCTCCACACCCTCTGATGTCTTTTCTGTGAGCCACCCGGTGTGTCTGCCTATATTCAGTTATTTGAGAAGAAAAGAATACAACCTTGGAGCAAATCAGCAAAGTGAAAATGATGTCTCTGGGATAAGGGGGGATATCATTTATGGCATGTCCAGTTACATATTTTGGGTGAAATGCAGAGAGGTAAAATATAGGAATCAAGCCTATCATAATCAGACCTTAGACAACACTTTTTTAAATTGTTCACTGATATAGTATCTTCAGAGAACTTTACAAAGAGGAGCCTTTGAAGTGTAATTTTACCTAATTGCCTGGGTGATTATGACCTTCAGGCTTTAACACTTGGACTGGCTCCCAGAACCTGAGCTATCCTTGGGCCAGTGAGGGGATTCTGGAAATCATTTTTTTCCCCACTCTGCTGTTGAACAACTGATTTTCCTGAGACCAAAGAATGGTCTGTGGTATATGGAAGTGTTAGTGTGTGAATGAAATATTCAGTTTGTCTGGTAATTCATTATATGACTATCCAGAAGTTGCGGGAATGTCCTTCCTTCTTCAGCAGTGGACTCTACATTGCCTGGAATCATTTCTACAATGAAGTTGGAGATGAAATTCCAGAATTGTGTTTTATGTTTTTCCAGCTCTGGACTTGGCATCAGAAAGCCTGTACCTACCGTGTACTGTGCTATCTAAATTGAATAGGTCACGTTGAAGCTCAAAGTTTTAGTTTTGGGGTCTATAAAATGGGATTAGTAATTGTCTACACACAGGGTTGTGGTCATTTACATGGGAGAGAACATTTGTAAAAGTGCTTGATTTATTGTGCTGTCCTCTACAAGTGTGAGGCTTCATTTGTCTTTTTGGGTATGTATCTTAGAAACCTGCTCTATGAACTGTCAGAAGACATCGACTCAGAGATCTTAAAGGAAATGATCTTCCTTATGAAGGATTCATTACCAAAAACCCATCTGGTGAGTGGATCATATAGAATGGGGTCTTTGTGAGCATTGCTTTAATTGGTGTTTGGGAAGAAGCTGGAAAGGGTTTTCAAGATGGTTTATTTTATCTTATTTATTTATTTACTTTTTTATGGGAGACAGTATCATACAATGGTTAGGAACACCAACTTTGTGTCAAATGGACCTGGGTTCTAGTGCTGGCTCTACCACCAGCTCTTCCATATGTGATCGAACATTTCTGAGTCTCTACCTTCTCATATGCCACACCACTTCCTTCCAGGACTGTTCGGAGGGTTAGAGAAAATAATGTTCATAAAGCATTATCATAAGGCCTGTATATGACACACAATGACCATGCAGTAAATGATTAACTGCCACTGATATCCACTGTGTTTTATGATATAGAAATATTCAGGGCACAACAAGGACATGAGAAGGTGGGAAATAGTGGCAGAATGGGAATTAGTTGTTTGTCATCTAAACTATTAGAGATGTCTGAGGGAGTCGTGTGTCCTTTTCAGTGGACTTAGCAGTGTCTTCCATGTAAGGGTTCTGCGAAAATCAAATGAAACAGTTTGAGAATGGGCTTTGTAAAGAGCTGTATAGGTATAACGTTTTTAGTATTAATGTAATAATGTTATTTGCTAATATTCTTACTACATCGGTCACATTTGCTAATATTCTCTTTTAAAATGATACTTTATTGATTATGCTATTATAGTTGTCCTGATTTTTCCCCTTTGCCCTCCTCTGCCCAGCATACCCACTCCCTCAGGCAATCCCCACACCATTGTTCATGTCCATGAGTCATGTTTATCAGTTCTTTGGCTACTTTGGGCATGTACTTTACATCCCCGTGGCTATTCTGTAACTACCTATTTGTACTTCTTAATCTCTTCACCTCTTCACCCATTTTCCCATACCCCCCAGCCATCTGGCAACCATCAAAACACTCCCCATATCCATGAATCTGTCTCTGTTCTTCTTGTTTGCTTAGTTTGGTTTTTATATTCAGCTGATAGATTTGTATTTTTTGCCATTTGATTGTTCAAAGTTTTGATCTTTTTCTTAAATAAGTCCCGTTAATATTTCATATAATAATAATTTGGTGATGATGAACTCCTTTACTTTTTTCTTGTCTTGGAAGCTCTCTATCTTCCCTTCAATTCTAAATGATAGCTTTTCTGGGTAGAGCAATCGTGGCTGGAGGTCCCTGGTTTCCATGACTTTGAATACTTCTTGCCAATCCCTTCTAGCCTGCAAAGTTTTTTTTGAGATATCAGCTGACAGTCTTATGGGAACTCCCTTATAGGTAACTAACTTCTTTTCTCTTGCTGCTTTTAAGATTCTCTCTTTATCTTTAATTTTTGGCCTTTTAATTTTGATGTGTCTTGGAGTGGGCCTCTTAGCATCATCTTGTCTGGGACTCTCTTTGCTTCCTGAACTTGCATGTCTATTTCCTTCACCCAATTAGGGAAGTTTTCTTTCATTATTTTTCAAATAGATTTCCAGTTTCTTGCTCTTTCTCTTCTCCTGGCACCTTTATGAGGAAAATATTGGATCTCTTGAAGTTGTCCCATAGGCTGCTTATACGATCCTCATTTTTGGGGGATTATTTTTTCTTCTTCTTGTTCTGATTGTTTGTTTTTTGTTTCCTTTTGTTCCACATCATTGATTTGATTCTTGGCTTCATCCATTCTACTGTTGTTTCCTGTAAATTGTTCATTTCAATGAGCAAATCCTTTGTTTCTGTGGATCTTTTTTATGCTGCTGAGGTCCTCACTAAGTTCCGTAAGCAAACTTATAACTAGTGTTTTGAACTCTCTATGTGGTAGATTGCTTGTCTCTATTTTGTTTATCTCTTTTTCTGGAGTTTTGATCTGTTCTTTCATTCGGGCCATGTTCCTTTGTTTACTTGTTTTGGCAGCCTCCCTGTGTTTGTTCCTATGTATTAGGTAGAGCTGATTTGACTCTGAGGCTTGGTAGTGAGGACTAATGTAGTAGATGTCCTGTAGGGTCCAGTGGCACAGCCTCCCCTGTTACCCATGATGGGTACTCGAGGTGCACCTTTTGTGTGGGTTGAGTACACCCTCCTCTTGTAGTTGAGCCTTTGTTGCTGTTGGCAAGATCAATAGGAGGGATTTACCCAGGCCAGTCAGCTGCAAGAATTGGCTGTGACCACTCACCACCAACCTCCAACCACAATGGAAGATCAGCTGTCCAGAGGCGCAGGGTGGTGGTGCTGCGAGGTGGTCTGTAGCTGTCCACTGGGTGTGCTGGCCCTGGGGTTTCCTGGGTGATGCAGTCCAAGGTCTTCCCCCACCTGTGTTTGCCCAGTGCCACTCTTCCTGAATTATAAAGGAATCTTAAATGGCTGCTACTTGTGCTGGGCTAAGAGATTCCCAGGTGAAGCCAGTTGTGAATCTAGGCTGGCTGCTGTTAGTGAGAGCCTGGGGCTCACTAAGGCCAGCTGTTGCTTGTTTGATAGAATTTAAGAATTTGTGAATCATGAGCCAAGACCAGCCATTCATATGGAAAAGTAGCCTGGGTGGGCCTGTAAGTTGTGTGGGGAGGACGGAATCCCTGGGGATCTCCTAGGCAGGTCAAGCAGTGTGAGGCACAATGATGGAGACTCAGATACCGCACTGGTTTGCAAACTCAGTGGGCGGAGGATTTAGAAAAGGGACAGTGGCCTCTTCTTGCCTTGATGCAAGATACTTCAGTTTCTCTCTGTGTATCACTGGTGCCTTTCAAGCTACTACCCCAGTGCTGGAGCTCAGAGGGAGTGTGAGTAGGTGAGTTTGTGTGTGGGTTCTTCAAGAGGAAATGCTTCGGGCTCCAGAGGTTTCTTCTACTGACTCAATCCCTGCTGGCTTTTGTAGCCAGAAGTTGTGGGGACTTATCTTCCTGGCACTGGAACCCTGGGCTGGGTGGCCTGGTGTGAGGCTGAGACTCCTTGCCCCTGAGATATCCCTCCTGAATTTTCATCAATCACACATGGGTGGAGGACCAGCCTATTCCCTGTCTGCACCCCTTCTACCAGTCTCAGTGGGTGTGGTTGCTTTAATTCCATAGTTGTCTGACTTCCATTCAGCTCAATTTCTGATGGTCCTAAGTAATGGTGGTTTTATATTTTAGTTGTAGTTTGGATGTGGTTGTGCGAAGAGGTGAGCCATGTCTGCCTATACTGCCATCTTTACTGGAAGTTGCTAATATTTTTGCTAACTGGCAGGAAAGTAGCTGCATGTCTCTTCCAGGCCTCAAAGCTTTATATACCATATATAATTTTTTATTTTGACTTCAATAGCATCTTATGACAAGCAAGTTATTTAATTTCAGAAGTATCCATTTTCAAACTTTACCCTGTAATGGGACTTTCACTGTGTTATTCAACCACTATTTTTATTAGATTCTAAGTTATATAACATTTGATAACACAAAAGACTGCATATTACATATGTACATTATAAAATGTAGCACTAAGTGAACATCTATAAAGGTCCCCATCCAATTTATGAATGAGAACCTCAGAGATGCTCTTGAGCCTATGTGTGTAGCCCTGCTATACCGCATTCTCCCCAATCAACTTATATTGACAAATAGCTTTATTTTTCTGAATCATAACTGAGGAATGGGAAACTGTTTTACATGTGGTAGGTCAAATGAGGACCAGTTTGTAATGCATTAAACATGTTTATTGGTGTCAGATCTGTAGACCTGAGCAAGTTATTTTTCTGTTTTGGCTATACTCTGAGACATTTCCCCCCCATTTTCAGAGCCCTCAAGGATTTTAGCCTTTTGCATCCTTCGATTGATCATCTCTAGAGGTCCCTTCTCCCAGAGATTTGTCGTGAGTTCCTTGGGGGTGAGGGCTGAGTCTACTCATCATTATAGCCACAGAACCTTGCAGAATCTGTTACAAATGGTGCTGTGAATAAAAGCAGGAAAGAGAGTGATGATGCATCTACCCCTTTCTAGTTCTGAAAAAATGACCTGAACACTCTGTCTATGTGATTTTACAATGAATAACTAGGGGAATTAGCAGGATGAACTAAATCACAATGATGGGGATGTGAAAAGATATAAGATTCTCATAGTTGTTGCCTCTTGTCAAAATCTATTAATTTTTTCCCTTAGATAGCCCCTGGAAGTTTTTATTCCCTCCTGTTACTGTTTTATTTTTTATGCTCTTCTCATTTCTTTTTATTTTTTTATTCTTGAAAGAAAGCACCAAAATATGAGTACAGAAAACAACATGAACAAACATACAGCTAAATGAATTATTATAAGGCTAATACCTTTGAAACCACTACCCAGGTCAAAAATTGAATTTTACCAGCCAGTCCAGAAACCCCTCCATTTGCCTGATCTCAACCACAGCCCCTTCCCACCCTCTAGAAGTAACCACTGTCCTGGCTTTTATAGTAATTAGTTTCTTATATTTCTTTATGGTTTTATCACTTACCTCTGCATCTCTAGACCTCAGTTTAGTCTTCACCAGTTTTTTATTTTGAGTGTCCTTTAATTTATAGGTTAAACTCCCCTCTTACAGTCCTTTCTTTTGCTTAAAATTTATCTGTTGAAGAATTCTAGGACAACTGGCCCCTAGAATTTCCCCTCATCTAGGTTTTGCTGATGTGTGTGCTTGGTGCAGTTTAGCATGCTCTTCAGTCTTCTGCATTTCCTGCAAATTGGCAGCTGAAATCAGAGGCTTCATGAGACTCAGGTTAGATCCTTTTGGCAAGAACACAGTGGTATTGTGTCGCATTCTTTCATTGGAAGATGCACAAGCCCTGGCTTTCTATTTTGATATAAGCAACTGCTGATGTTCAACAATTTTGTATATCGATTCTTTGGGGTTTGCAAAATGGGGATTTTTAAATTCTATAATTTTTCCTCCTTGTCTATTATTTGGTTACCTTGTGATACAGTTTATATATAAATGCTCTATTCTTTCTTTTCTTTCTTTACCCAGTGTTTGTGATAATTGACTATTATTTTGTGATTCTCTG